AAGTAAATTATCTTGTCTCTTCATTTAATTTCTACAAAAAGAAGATTTATATAATTTGCAATAGAGTCAATCTTTCTTTTTATTTAATAATTTTTGCTGTTTTGTCTGTTATGCCTTGGCAAGTAATATCGTTTTTTTTTTTGACGAAGATATGTTCAAAACTCTGTAATAAGGTATATATGAAAGATACCGATGATACGTAAACATAGATAAGGCAACGTTGTTCGGTGATTTTTAATTAATCGGATCTACCAGTACGCAACAAAACATGACTTTCAGTTTCGCTGGCAGACTGAGATAACGAGAAAAACAAACTTGTTAGAGACGAAGCTAAAAATGTGAATAAATTTTCTATAGGTCAATACAAAACAACACTTGAAAAAACTCTCTTTGAAGCAGAACTGGAATAATTAGAAAATAAGTGTTCAGAACGAAGCTTTTTTTCAGTATTACTAATTCCAGTCTGTAAAGGACTAAGTCAGAATTCATTCACATTGAATCTAAAAGAATTTCTGACATACTTATTTTTCGATTATTTCTCTTAAATATTGCTCTGATTGATATAATTTCGGATGTATTTTGCTATAAAACATACAAAATCTACTTATAATTTTTCATTTTAGTTTGAATACTTTTTTTTCTTGTAATAAGTCTATTGAATTTTATTTCCAGATTACTTTAGACTATTAGTGTACACGAAAGAGGTCATGAAATTATACTATCACTTCACAGTAGTGGCAGAACTGTGCTTACCTTGATATAAGTCTAGTTTATATGTAAACAACTGTCTCCCTCACCCTTATCCTCAACAAAAGTGTTTACATAAACTAGACTTATACCATTGATTTATTATAAAGTATCAAATAGAGTTGTGAAAAACACTCTTCAGAGTCCATCAGGCTATTAAAATGTAAATTAGTTTTTGTCTTATATAGAGTAGTACACGAATTTTGATGGATGCGTCGTTATTAGAGACACGTTTTTTTGAAACCAATTTTAGATGTCTTTCTTTGAAATTACATATCTCATCAAGTCAACATTAGTTTCTTACAAACCTTTGGATTATATGATAGAACTTGACATACTCTACAAAAATGCTAACAAGACCTTTCCTGTTTTTTTCGGACGAGAAACGTGAAAAAAATGTTTTCCTCAAAGGATAAATTTTTTTACTTGAATTTCCTTATAATGTGATTATTAGGGACAAAAATTTGGTTAATGTCGGATTCCTAATAATGACGGATGCAGTTCTTCTTCGTAGATCGATGATTTCTTCGTCATACAATAACAAAGAAAGACCGCGATCATACCGTTCGAAAGTGCAACATTCAAGGATTATGCAAATATAAAAATATTTTCAATCAAGTATAAAATGGCTGTGTACGAAGTTAAACAAGACAAATGAAAAATTTGCCATCATTATTAAAGACATTGATTGTATGTAACATTTTAAACTAGTGTCTTTTTTTGTTGAAATTTCTCTTGAAAAGAATATATATTGTTTTCAGAAATCATGTTTCTATTTTTAATTATTAAAGCATTTACTTTGGTATGTATGGAATGCATACTCAAATATATTCACATAACCAGTTTTTGATAAAGGATATATAAATAGTTTCAATGATATGTTGGTATATAACGAATAAATTGCTCGATGAATCTGTAGCTAAACTAATCTTCACTTTAGTATGAATATCTTCGGAAATACAATTGTCAAGTTCTTATTTTTTGTTTTTAATGCATTCGATATGAATTTTATAAACATATGAAAGGCTCATGGATATACATTTATCTCAAAATAATATTGAAATTTAGAGTATTGATTTCAATCTGCTTTGATTCAACAAACTATTCTCTTTATGATTTATATTTATTATTATTAGTGATGAACCAAGAGAAAGTCAAAAATTATTGATTTTGACCTTGACATAATAATCACTTATTTTCTCTTCAAATTTTAACTATTTCATGTGACTATCGATTAGACAAAAAGTTCAAATATTATTTAAAGTTCGTACGAACTTTGAGTAAATGAATTAAATGTTTATTGACTGAAAATTAATCATAAAACGAAAAAAAAAAATTCCGAAATCATAAATGCACTTTCAATATGAATTTGTCTTACATTCAAAACTGTTAACACTCATACAATTTTTTAAAAATATTTTACACTGTATATTTTATGTATAAGTTCTTGGTGCAAGATACAATTTATCCATCTAGACTAACAAGGAATGATTGTCTTGATTTGCATTAGAATACTTTATGAAAATCTTAAATATAAAGAATAATGTTTCCTTAAAGACATAGCAATTTTATAATACGCCATCTAAGTCAATGAAGATACTAAACTATTTCCATAGAAAATTCTTCTATGAAAGAAGATGACATTCTTGCAAGTGGCGGCATCCTTACCAATACTTGTCGAGGTCATATTATTGTCTATTTAGGTTTGCCTATTGGTGCAAAAAAAAATGTTTGGGCATAGAAATGTTTGTCGACAATAGAGAATATTGTAAACTAGATAAATCTTTGTTTTGAAACATGACCATAAATATGTCTATTTAATTTATAAGCAGTATCGTAAGTTTATGTCTTAGGTAAATAAGAAAATTTTATTGATTTAAAATACAATTATAAAAAAAAACAGAAATCTTCTTTACCATCGTATAATATTAAGTCATTAAATGATTCATAGGTTAAGGTTTATTTTGTGATTCTAATGATTCAATAGTATTTGAATAAATACAATATATTCTTTTTATAAACTATCAATAACAGAACGAAAAACATATTCTGAGGAAGTATATAAATTTTTTTTTCTACGACCCACATATGTTTAATCTATATATATCTATATATCGTTTAACAGGAGAATTTTGATGAGAATGAAAAAAATGTTTTGTTAGTATATGCATCTACATTAATTAAATTTTTGTTTTTTTTTTATAAACTCTAATCATATTATTTCTTGTATGCCCAGCAAAGAAAAAGAAAAAAGTATTGAGATTAAGAAGTATTTGTAATAAAGTATTTTCAAATATTCATTAATCGTAACAATATGAATAATTTTGTAAATTCATCGAATATCTTTTTTATTAAAAAAAAAGAATAAATAAATAATTTTTTCACAAAAAATCTATATGAAATATTTTTCAGATAGAAAGTTTGAATTATCTAATTCATAAGAATTAATTCAATAATGCAATATGTACCATTAAGATCGACATATAAAGTAGGTACTCGGCAAAGTGAATTAGCTCTTATTCAAACGGAAAGGTATGTTTAATTAGTTTTTCTTTTTATTCAATTAATATTTGTTGTTTATTTTCTTTTTGTTAGTGTCATTGCTCAACTTAATAAATTTTATCCAAATATTAAATATGAAATAATTAAAATAAAAACAATTGGTGATAAAAATCTTGCAACACCATTAGCTAATATTGGTGATAAAGGTTTATTTACCAAAGAACTTGAAATTGAACTTGATCAAAAAAATATTGATTTTGTTGTTCATTCACTTAAAGATGTACCATCAACAACTTTACCACCAAATATGATTATTGGTGCTATACTTGAACGTGTTGATCCACGTGATGCTGTTATTATAGCGCCATGGCGTCATGAAAAATCTTTAAATGAATTACCACCCGGTAGTGTTATTGGAACAAGTTCAACGCGTCGTATTGCACAATTGAAATTAAATTATCCACAATTTAAATATAAAAATATTCGTGGAAATATGAATACACGTTGGGAAAAATTGAGCAATAAAGAACTTGGTTATGATGCTATGATTGCAGCTGTTGCTGGTTTTCAACGATTGAATTGGACAGATCGTATTAGTGAAATAATTGAATCAGATTGTGTTCTTTATGCTATTGGACAAGGTGCACTTGGTATCGAATGTCGACATGATGATAATGATATAATTCGAATGTTATCAGTACTCAATCATGAACCAACAGCTATTTGTTGTATTGCTGAACGAGCCTTTTTAAAAAGAAGTAAATATTATTCTAGTTTTAGCTTTCTCTTATAATCAATTTCATACATTTTTTTTTCTTGGATTTTATGAGCTATGAAAAAAAACTCGTACTGAATATTTTCTTTTCGATATAATAGATAGTTGTCATGAAAAAAAAAGTGACTTGTAGCGATTTTGATTTTTAAAAATTAATTTCTAATATCTATTTTATTTTCTAGTTGAAGGTGGTTGTAGTATCCCAAATGCTGTTCGTACAGAATACAATGGCAATGGTTTAAAGATTAATGGTATGCTACTCAATCTTGATGGATCTCGTTATGTTAAAGACTACATTGAAAATTCAAATTTAACTATATCAATGACAACACCAATTCCAAGTTTTCTTGTTTCACAAACAGATGATGATAATGATTTATTATTAACTGATGATAATATACAATCTTATCCAATAAATTTAAAACGTAAACGTACGGATTCAAGTAGTGATGTTGTTCTCGATCCAGATTCTACAACGACTTCTTCAACAATAGAAAATGTTTCTTTACTTCGTCATTATGCACATGTATGTTGTATCAATACACATGAAACAATATTAGAAAATGCGGAATTATGTGGCACAAATCTAGCAGTTAAATTAATGCAAATGGGTGCTGATAGTATATTAGAAGAAATTCGTCATAATGTTACTATCACTCCTATTCAACAATAGATTTTGATCTTTTTTTTATATTTTGCTTGTTTTTGAGAATGATAACTTTATTAGTTATTATCTTTGAGCATCTCATATATTTATTTGGAAACAAAAAAAAATAATAATAACACATTTAGACATATAACAAATGACAATGTATATATATATATATGTATGGAGACAATTTTTTACAAAATTGCATATTGATCATATAAGATTCGTCGGACTTTGTAATATGTATCGGATAGTGCACCTTCAAGAATGATTTTACCTGCTTCGTTCTAAAATAAACAAAAAAAAAATGAAATTATATGTGAAATGATAGAAATTATATATTTACTCGTTTGATAGCTACAGTATCTTCACATGTAAGGACTCCACCAACAAATTCAGCTTTAAGTCCATGTTGTCGAATAAGAATCATTTTAAGATCAAGTAATTTTGGTTCATTAACAAATACACATGGATGAGGTGGCATCTATATTTTTTCAAAAATAATATAATTAATTAACTTCTTTTTCTTTTTTTGTCTAAATAAAATTTTACCTGATCTTTAAGTTCACGTGTTACAGGATTCAAATACCATTCTGTATTAGCTTGACCAACAGCTATGCAAAAAAAA